ATACCATATGGTATTTGGTGGTAACGAAATATATATTGATATTACCACACTATACCATATGGTATTGGGTGGTAACGAAATATATATTGATATTACCACACTATACCATATGGTATTGGGCATAGACCAGGAAACCGGATCGTACCGGCCGGTTCAACCGGTTCAACCGGAAATTGGACCAAAAGCGGTACGGTGGCCTTATTGTGCGGATTTTGCCTTGCCGGCCGGTTTTTTCGGTTTGACCGGTTGAACTGGTTGAACCGACCGGTATGATCCGGTTTCCTGGTCTATGATTCAGCTTCATTTCTCCGTATTCTCGTCCAATATGTGGAAAATAATTAAAAAGAATATTATTTTGCTATTTTTCTATGTTGAAAATGGGTCACCGTGGTTGTATAATGCTCTATTTGGTTCTTTTTTTTATGGATTATATTTTTTATACTATCGCATTTCATTTCTCTATCAATAGTGAAAAACGATATTTACCGGTACAAAATGGTTGAACCACGGTCGTACCACAAAATACCATACCAGAAAGGAATCCGGTATGATGTCCGGTACGGTTTCCTTTACCATGGTATTGGGTGGTAACGAAATATATATTGGTATTACCACTCTATACCATATGGTATTACCACTCTATACCATATGGTATTTGGTGGTAACGAAATATATATTGATATTACCAGACTATACTATATGGTATTGGGTGGTAACGAAATATATATTGATATTACCACATTATACCATATGGTATTGGGTGGTAACGAAATATATATTCATGTGGCAAAAAATTTCATACCATATGGTATGCTCTTATTTAATACCAGTCAATACCATATGGTATAGACTGGTAATAACTGACAAATTTTTTTGTGTCCAAAAAATATCAAAGTGGATATCATTTTGAAGAGCACAATTAATCTGATCTAACTGTGCAAAAAAAATTAAATTTCGACTTAAAACGAGCTAGAAATCGTCCGTTAAAGATTAAGAGAAGGAAAATTAAATATTTTGCGAAGAGAGAGAATGAGGCGTTGATGTGGTCTGGTCAAAAGTCAGGGTTCGCAATAAATAGGGGCAGAGACAATTTTACTGTTCTGCCCTTTTCACATTTAATTTAAATAAAAAAGTGACTGACACGTGGGGACTAGGAAAGTGGTTACTGATGGGTTACTGACCCATCAGTTACTCACCCGATCTGGACCCCTTTCATTCATCATTCAATAATCCCTTTCGGTTCTGCCCTAGCTACTTTCCTCCTCAACCTACCACAATGGTCGTGCCCAACATCTCTGTCGGTGCTTACGGGTGGCCCGACGAATGTCAAGGACGAAAAAACAACGACGTTCTCGTGAAGCGGCTCACCAACACGAGAACAAGAACGGAAAAGAAGAACAACAAGAAGGAGAAGGAGGAGGAGCACTCTGCTCCTCAGCTGAAGAAGAGGAAGAACGGGAAAGAAATCCCCACAGAATTAACAGGCAGCCTCATTCTAGGGCTCGCTAGAGAAGAAACGAGCGATTTGGTAACAAACGACAGGAGAAGAAGACTCGTGGAGATGGCTAACCGTTACCTGCGAAAGCACTGTTCAGAAGATGCGTATAACGGCGGCGATGGAAGTTCGCCAAAGAGGCAAAGGCTTGGCGACTAAACTTCTACGTACGAAGTGGTTAGATTAGAGTTAAACCCTAAATTCATCCGTAGTTAAAATTGCTAAAAACAGTGTGTTATTGCACTTCATTCTTCGAGTTCTTCGTTAATCTTGTTTGCGGAATTGGAAACGACTTTCCTTGAATATGTTGCTTTGATCGGAGTTTCATCTTCAAAGGATTAATGTTCAACTAGTACCATTAAATTTTGTACCTATTGATTGGATATAAGAAGTTCATCAAACCAGCCTGAATGGAAAATTCTTAGCTTCAACCTTGGTTGAAGATTTGAATGCAGAAGCTTCAACCATCTCACATGTCATTTTGTTATTGGTGGACTTACCTTCCTTTTTTCTTAATATTTAATGTTCTTAATTATGCTAAATAAATAAAGAATTAATTATTAAAAAAAAAAAGATGAGAAAACTAATATGTGGCTGGTTGGAGTTTCTCCATCCTTCCAACTTTGGAGCTAAGAATTTTCCAGCTATAATTTAAGGATACATAAATTAAATTGATAAGAAAATGCTATTTAATGGAGATGATGTTGTTTCAAAAAGAAAAACAAGAATCACGTTGACATTGACTTCTTTGTAGTAGCTTTGACAATCCATCGCACACGAGTTTTCTATGCTCAACATGATTGTAAATAGATTGTCGACCATGATTCTTATTATCAATATCTTACTAGAAGAACGTTGACATTGACTTCCTTGTAGTGGCTTCTACAGGTTACCTTCAACTTTTGTGTCCTTAAGAACAATGTTGCTCATAGTAAAAGACACATTGGATTCGCTTGCTTCTTAAAACAATGTTGTAGCCAGAATCAATGATGGAGTTTGATTGACAGTTGACACTAGCCGGTCCAACACTACTGTTAGTACACGGTATATGATCCACTATTGAACCTCTCCCAACAACTCGAGTTATTGGGACCAACTGGTTTTTGACATGGTATTATATCCTTCTGCAATCAAAAGTTCTTTTATTCGAATCTCTATGACCCCATATGTTTCTGTTAAGCACATGATGTCCGGACCTCTGCAAACTTCAAGCTCATATATGGTGGCTTTCGTTTGAGGGGGTGTGTGAGCACACGAGGTACCATTACGAGCTCAATATATACGAGTGTTATTCCATGAAATAAATCAAATTAGATGGGTGTATCCTTTAGGTAAACAAAATCCACCCTACAGGTATATGATCCACTATGAAATCTCTCCCAACAATTCGAGTTATTGGGACCAACTAATTTTGACAAGGTCAGCGGGATTGTCGCGGGAAGGTGGTTCCACAGGGGCGAAGATTTCTGGGAAAGGTTAATTTCAGTTTGGAAATTATACTTATTCTTTTTGTTTTATTTGCTTCAATTTATTATAAGATGAGATAAAAATAGAAAAAGATTAAAAAAAATATAATGGTGATAAACTGATATTAAAAAACAAGAACAAGGAGAATGTACAAGCTACTGAGATCACAAGATCTGATCTCTCGCACCGAGGAAAGAACAAAAAACATAAAACAAAACAAAGCCACCAAACAGCAAACCCAAAAAGAAAAAACCAAAGGACAAAAAAAAAAAACAAAACAAGGGCAACCCATCCCAACAGTAGTCGCGCACAATGCCACCAAAATCCAAATAGCAACGCCATTACTCCCAGACCCACAACTTCATGAACCTCACCCCATAACCAAATGCAGCCCAGGAAACAAAACAAACCACAGTAGACAGACAACTCCCAAACAAACCCCTTACACCATAACCATAATCCCTCCCAGAAACGAAGTAAACATCATCACCCGACCAGAATCTCCCGCAGCCAGCACTCCCCCTGGTTCTTCTCGACCTTCCCCTGAGCCACTAGCCATTCCTGAAAACCCATTCCTGAAACAGCTTAAATGGCTCCACACCTTATCCACAAACTGACATTCCACGAATAAATGATACACTGACTCTTCTTGGGTGTAACAAAGGCAGCATCTATTCACCAGAGACCACCCTTTCTTCTTCAGGTTGTCCACTCTGAGTATTTTGTTATGATAAACTAAGCACAAAAAGAAACAAACTTTGGACGGTATTAAATTCTTCCCAACTTGTTTAGCTGGGAAGTCATTCAGACCTTTTTGTTCAGACTTCACCAGATTCCTGTAACAAGAGCTCACATAAAACTTTACTTTCGGTTCAGGATTCCAAATAATACTACATGGGCTGTAAGTCTTATTCAACAAATCCAAGAGACCAAAGAATAGACTCACCGTTGAGGGATGCCACGTTGGAGATTTTTGCTTCAGGGTCAGTGGCTGCAGCAACGACACGAGGGAACAAGGAAGCCAGCATCTTCCCCGGGGTCCATCTATCATGCCAGAACGAAGTCTCAATTCCATTCTCAGGATCCAGACTCGCAAAGTTCCAGAAAGTGTCATATTTTTAGAAATATTAGCCCACACAGACTGAATATTTGTTTTCTTTTGCCATTCTTATTCACATTCAATCTCTCAACATATATTGTTTTCTTTTCTATACAATCTTCAAATCATTGGGAAGTCATATCCAGAAGTTACATATATGATGCTAAAGGACTAAACAATTATTTCTTCTGCTAACATCTACTGATTCTTATATGATGATATGTTTCTTTTTAAGTTCTTACATTGGTTCGTTAAAAAAACAAATTTTTATATTTAAACATGTTAACTCAACTAAGTTGCTCATGCCTTAGATATAACTTAAGTTTCTGCCAAACCGTGTCTACTGGATTAGAATCCATTAGCCAAACAACGTCTGAATCGACTAAAAGTTCTCCTTGAGCTCCTTCTTATTGCAGCATGATGATCCACATACTACAAGATTTGTACTTGAATCGCAAAACTTTCCCTGCCTCCTGCGCTGCATGGAGTTTGGGGATCCATGATCCATCTGCTGTCAAAAACTGTGCAACCTTCATAGTTTACAGACTCATACTGAATGACGAAGGACTGAGGTACTGCTGCGCTTTAGCAGACCGGTTCTTCACAGTGACCCATCAGCTGCGGAAAATGATCGAACATATTACCAATAGTAACGAAGTGAGGCTCGGTGGAGATACCCCGAAACGCCTTCTCAAACACATTATCTGGTGTTACCTGAGGCTTTCCGAAAGTCCCAAGGTCTAGTAGTAGTTTGCAGTAATTTCAGTTAACAACTGTTAATGAGATTTTTCAGTGGAAGTGATTCTTCAGATTAAGCATTTTAATGTGTTTCGGATCTGATAACTGTGAAAAATCGTGTCGTGCAGGGCGTGCCATGGACTTGTAACATGGCTTCCCCTCAGATTAAGAGACTGCGTTGATTAGCATCATTTAAGTGAAGCTTTTATTTTTCTCATCATAACACAAACTTTCATTGCCCAAAGGCTTGGTAAAACATCAATGGGGGAAATCTGAGAATGGGTCATTTTTTTCTTCTTTGTAGGATGACGTTACTGCAATACAGTGCCTGCAAAAGCTGTTCAATAACCTTGCTGCCAGGAATCGTTCACCACCCCCGCCCATTGAGAACTTGCTTGCCGGTTGCTCTGCCATTAGAGACATCACACAATACAATATACTACATAAATACAATACAGAGTAGAAGGTTATGCTATACTCAGGACTTCTCTCAGAGAAAAAATGATGTAGAATGCTTTGTTTTTATGAACCAAATGTTGTAATCTCTCTGTTTGATTGCCCATTTCTGAGTGAAATTTATGTTGAACTTGATTCGGGGTGAATTTGTCGTGAACAGAATGTGAGAAAGGGTTACCTCATAGCAGAGCAAACATCTTACAAAATCATATAATGAGGGGAAGGGAAGGGAAGGGATGATGAAAAATAAAAACACCCTGCCTCTTCAATGAAATCAAGAATATATCAAGACACACTAAAGCTAGAATACAGAGAACCAGAGAGATAACATTAAGAGGAACTTAACCCCTTTTGTGGTATGGAAAGATCATTGTCCAGCATAAATGAGAGATCATGCATCTGTGACATATATTTCTCCACCACTTCAAATTTCAATCTCGGATTTTCACTAGAAACAGCATCTTCTCCAGCTGTTTTGACTTCTGTGGCAACCTCAGTGCTATCCCCATTTCTTGCACTTCCAATGTCGATCCTGTACAGACAAGCAACAACAATATGGGTTCATAAATGATGTTCCAGATTGATTGAAATTAGTTTCTTTCTGGATTAGAGGGATATAATAGAATCTTCCAATACCTCTGTAATGCTGAAGTTTCAGGCCACATAAGATCCACCTCCTTGGAATCCTTTTCATCGTTGGAAATTCCTGAGAAGAGATCAGTTTGTGGAAAGCCACCGAAATCAACAATCTGTGATTTCTCGCCTTCACCAATCAAGTCTATCTCAGAATTCACAGTGTGAGTCACGTCTTGTTTCGAAGAGCTGCCAGCTATTGGTTGGACACCAGACGAGCTAGTGAAACCATTCCAGTCATCAAAGTAATCATCTCCCTCATCAACTGTGGTGTTGTTAGTGGTGGTTTTTGGCAATTGATCATCTTTGATGAAATCCAAATCGAACGGAGAAATTATATCTGTTTTCTCCATGATGTCGCCATCCTTAATAAAAATGGGGATATTCAGCTGGCTTTCAGTTTGACCGGTTGCTCCTGGGTTGGAATTACTCAACAAATCGCCTGGAAACCAATCATCATTTATGTTAGATGCTGAAGGAATTGAACTTTCATTTTCTGGTATCTTGGACACTTCACTTCCACCTCCAAATACCGAATCTAAGTGAGCAGATATATCGACCGATGAAGAAACTTCAAAAGGATCAAACGATTTCGACTCCTGAGTCGTAGAAGCATCAGCAGACTGAAACTCAGTTTCCCAGCCAGCAAACGAGTCATCACCTCCTCCATCTTCTTCAACTTTACTATCAGTACGAGATGGCTCAACGCTCTCAAACAAGCTCAGATCAGTAGGAGCTTGAGAAGAATTCTCATAACTCGGGAATGGTCTACTCGACATAAACTGATCTTCTGAAGCTGCAGAAGCTGGTTCTAACCTCGGCTCAGGGAAAAAATCCAGCTCATCATCGTGTCTCCCCGAGAAAGATTGCTCTTCAACCAATGCAGAAACTGATTCTTCAACCTTAGCCTCTTGAAAAAAGTTGAGGTCGTTAGGGAATCCAGAAACTGATTCTGCCGCCTTAGGCTCCGGGACAAAACTTTGGAGATCAAGTCCCTCGAAATCAAGAGTTCTCAACTTCTGACTATGTGTCTTCTCCAATGCTGCTTTTCCTGTTTCCTTTCTCTCGGATTCCAAAGGCCAGTGTATTTCGAGATCCAATAGCTTGGATAATGGAATCTCAGTCTCTAATGCATCTGATCGTTTGTTCAGTTGTTGTTGAACTTCAATTGATTGTCCCGAAAGTTCCTGCAGCGAATGTTCCAACAACAGCATCAATCTCATATCACCTCAAGCTCTTTTGTCCACTGCACTAAACTTCCTTTCTCCATTATATACAAAATTCTAACTCCACAGACAGTCCCTTCGGATACATCCGATAACTCCACAAACAGAAAACTCATACTATGAAGTGAACAGTTAAGATAAGCACCCATTTCTGTTGGTTAATCGCATGCTTGGAGCCACTAACCATAGCAAAGAGACTTAAATCAATCAAACAAATCATGGTCTTCAAACTTAACTACATTCATCAATTGGCTAAACAGAGAAAAATTCCCAACTTTCTCAGTGAACAAGCAGAAACGCGGCAAAACTAAACCAAACCCATTAAAAGGAAAAATGGGGGAAACACAAAAGAAGAAAGGAATCAAACATTTAAAAACACTAACCGATCCATCTAAACCAAGGGACTGAAGAAGCCACTTGGAGGCAGATGTGGCCATGAACTTGATTGCTTGAGGGGGAGCATCGCTGTTCACCTGTTCCCTACCGCAGAAAACGCAAATGATCGAGTTCGCACCTCTGAGAAGTCCCCCGCTGCAATGCTTGCAACGGAGTTCCGGCGGCGAAGGGTCGAGCTCAAAGATCGAGTTTCCGGCGGATGGCAAATCGGCAGCTGAATCTGCGGTGTCTTCCGGATTGTAAGAGGAAAAGTTGGAGTCTTGGCGGAGAGATATCTGGAGGGAACGAATCTCATCGTAGGGAATCGATAAAGCTTCCATTGTTAGGGATTTGGGAGGAGATCTGGGGATGATTATGGGGAAGAATAACGAAAATCGGGTGGCGCTTGGATCAGAAATGGCGAGCAGGGAGGATGAAGAAGTCGCTGTTTTTCTTACCGAGTTTCAGATTCTATGAAACGGCGGCATAATGGACTGCTTTCGAGTTCCAACCGGTTTATAATGTTGCTTCATTTACCAATTAGTATGGTTCGACTGAGATAAAGTCGATCTATGTTTATTCGTGCCAGTTTAAACATGTATAAAATATCTTTAATACCTTATAAAAAAACATCTTTAATACAACATACTTACAATTTACATCTATATTTAAATAAAATATAACATTCTAAACAAAATATAAAATACTCATATTTAACTTCGATATCCAAATGTATATACGTGAATCCAACAAATAACATCAGTATTTAACTTTCAAATTCATGAAATAATCAAAAATAAATTTTTTGTTAGTTAAATTCTCATTAAGATTGCTTCATTTTGTTTAGAGGCTAGAATAGATCATATAAGTGATATTCAAATCGGTTTCATACCGGCACTGGTTATACCAGATTCAACCAAACTACATTCCACCGACATGACAACACTAAAGCCATGGATATTGGACAATATTAGCATTTCCCGTCAATTATATTTCACATCGTTATATAGCTTTGTTTGGTATTGTTTGCGGTTTATGTTTTCACAGTTAAAAACAAAGACTAAAAACATGTGTAGTTCTATTTTCATCTGTTATTGTAACTAGGGCTGTTAATCGGTGCGGTTTCGGTTTAACCGAACCGCACCGTCGGTTAGCCGACACCGAAAGACGGTCGTTTTCCCCAACCGAAGCCGACACCGACGTCGCCCTCGGTTAACCGGCAACCGAAACCGTCGGTCTCGGTTTGTGAGGGCGGTTAGCCGAAACCGCTGGAGGAAGGTCTCATCTCACTGATCAGCACAAATTAAAGAAGAAGTGGGTTGGAACTTGGAACCAAGCTTTCATAGTTAAGAATTCCAAACTTAAGGACAAATTAAAGAGAGCAGTTGAATGAAATTAATCAAATTAATCAATAAAAACATGTACAAATTAATCCACAAATCCCTACACCCTACTAATGCTTTTGTTCTGTTGGAACTTACATTGGTGCGGAGGACGGCTGGAGTCGAGGGCGGCGACGCGAGGGCGGCTGGAGTCGAGTTTTGGACGGGAGTTCGGCGACGACGACGTCTGAGCTCGACAGCGGCGACGCGAGGGCGGGGAGGCGACGCGACTGGGAGAGGCGGGAGGGCGGCGGTGCGACGCGACGATGGGAGATGAGTGAGGGCGGCCGGTGAGGGACTGGACTGGAGGCAGGGACGAGCTCGACTGCGAGATGAGTGAGGGCGGCGACGCGGCGGGGAGTCGGGGACGAGCTCGACTGCGAGATGAGTGAGGGCGGCGACGCGGCGCTGCGACGGCCGACGGCCGACGAGCTCGACGGGGACGAGGTGACTGGAGGCGGCCGGTGAGGGACTGAGGGTTGGGGCTACTGGCGGCGGCTAGGGTTCAGAAATGGGAGGAGGCTCTCACGATTTTGGTTTTTGGGGATTTAGGATTTTAGGGTTCTTTTGTTTTGATTTTAGGTCAGGGGATCAGGGGAGGGGAGGGAGGGAATCCGATGGTCTGGTTCGGTTTCGTCGGTTTGTGCGGTTAATTTGTAGCGGTTGCGGTTTTTAACCGCTAACCGCTACAATTGCCCACTGGTCGAAATTGTCCAACCGCAACCGCAAACCGAAGGTAACCGACGGTTTTCGGTTGGTCAGTAAACCGACGGTTTCGGTTCGGTTTCGGTGGTAACCGAAAAACCGGAGACCGATTAACAGCCCTAATTGTAACAACAAGAGTTGGCAACATAACATAAATGAGTTAAACTCGCTGAAAGCACTTTAAGTAGGTTCCTTGTTGTTTCCAAAAGATGTTTCTTGTAGGTTTCTATCAATTGTTGGAATAATTTTATTCAAGTAACAAGTAAGTCTCTGAGCAAATCTAACTAGACCCACTTACTAAATATTTCTTTCTCGCAAATTATGCAAAACTCATCCATGGAACCTTATTCATATATTTTTCTTTCTAAAATTTCTCATAAATCATCATAATTTCACTATTTCTTCCATTATTTCATACGTCTTTAGTCTAAAGAAGTAACTAGTCAGTTTATTTATGTTTTTGGTTGTCAACTTTCATGAGTTCTCATAATTACAAACGAAACAAGTTTTAAGTTGCTAGGTAAGTTTAATTTGATGGCTAAGCTGACTCAAATAAACTTAATTTAGTAGATTTTTCACAAAACCGACCAGAAAATTGATGGCATAGGTGCATATACATGGTTTCTTAAGTATCTACATCTAACTCAATCGACTATGTGGCCACAAGTATGCTCTATCTCCTCTCATTCGCCATTTAGAGTATTCATATCATCTCCTCCCATTCACCATTTAGAGTATTCATATCATTCAAACTCTTATGTCCGAAATTTAATTCATTCTCTTAAAAATAAAGTCAATCGGCATCGACATTTTGGAGAAAACAAAGTTTACACTATATAAAAATTTGAAGATATGATTGTTCTAGAATAGTGTAAGAGGGTTTCATACTAATCACATATGGATTGATTTTGGTATATATGATTACAAACCAGATTACTTTTGATTAAGATAATAGTTTCTATATGTTAATTTTGTATACCAAAACTGTCCCTCCCCATGAATTCGTTAGGAAGAAGAGAGTTATCTTATGTTTCTATTATGAAGGGTAAAATGGTATTTAACTAAATCGTAGTTAAAATAACACACCTATAAAGTGTTTAACTTTGCAGGGTAAATGTGTAATGTAGTAAACTTTGAAAAATGTACCTTAACAAAAAGAAGTTTGGACATGTAAATGTAAATATTAGATTGTCAAACTATATTTGGTATGGCTGGTCCAATCAATCCACAAACTCACAAGCTTTTGGCTCGATGAATTCTAGGGTTTAAACTCAATAAAATTGTTCACCTTTTACAAGCTACAATCTGACCTTTATATAGGCAAAAGAAACTAAAATTTTATGCTATCTAGGAAAAGAAAATAACTACAACGCTAATAAGGAAAACAAGACATGAAACCAACTTGAGGATCCCTTCCAAACTCGGATGCTTGTAGTCTAAGTAAAACAAACAAACTTCATACCAACTTCAAGCTTCTCGTATGATAGCCATCAAGCTTCATTCCTCTCGTCCAACTCCTTCAGTATCCTTTACCAGACTTGTACTACCATGATCAAGTTTCAAATTCACTTTATCAGTCTCCAAAATGAGGTTACAGACCTCCAAATGAGATACCTCGAACTGATTCCAACACTTATCCAATTTCGGCTCTTCTTGCTCCCGCGAGGTGCATTCTTCTTTAATCATCAATATGATTGATTTTGGGGCACCCTTGAGTCTTGCACCACTAAAAATAACTACAAAATCCAAATAAAAAAAATAAAAACACTCTCGACATCGTCGTCGCTTCACCTCCATGTAACCCGCAGCTTCCTTATCTTCCAAACTCACCGTCGTTGCTCTCAAATCCATTCATTATTCTTATTTGTCTTCTTCTCCGCGATCATGAATAGGGATGGAAATGGGGCGGGTTTGGCTAAACCATCCCTATCCTCATATTTAAATATCCAAACTCATACTCGCCCCATACCCATGCGGAGGAAGGTTTTGCAAACTCATCTCTGCACCCGTGGGTTTCGGGTACCCATGGATAATACCCGCCCCGTATATCGAACATTATTATATCTAAGAGTTTACATAAAAATTTTCCATTATAGCACTAAACAAACCTACTATATCATGAAGTCAACAAATATACAATCATTCTTAATACGGTTCAAATTATATGATCCTAAAACATCTAATAATTCATAAGATAGAGTACAATATTTTCCAAATTATTATTCTTTAACTCTTATACATCTACTAAGTAATAATTAACTAACATAATTATCTTGTTAACAAGAGGAAAAAGTGAAAGAATGAAGGGAAAATCGAAAGAAAGAAATAAGGTTTTGATTTGGATGGCACTCAATTATTTTTCTACTATTTATTTTCTTAAGTTACTTTCATTATCATTGATAGATTATAATTTAATCCATGTACTTTATATATGTGAATAAATGTTCTTGGTGGGGGTATGAGTATGGAGCGGGGAGGCTTAAACCATACCCGCCCCATATGCATCAAACCTTTTGCGGGTTCTACCCATACCGCGATCATGGGTTTGATTGTCATCCCTAATAATGCAAAGTCCGGTGGACTAACCTAACAACCATTTGTTCTTCACTCTCCATTGATGATAGCATGAAGTTGTCTCGTTGCCATGATGATTTTGATTACTGCGAAGAGGTTTTTGACTTCATGGAGGAACTCACGTCTGCAGGTGCCCTTACTACTGACCCTTTTGAGGAGTGTTGTTTGGTAGGAACAGACACCTCGGACTCCCCGGAGGATGATAGCCAATCCCCGCAAGACCAAGAAGTGGAGGCATTACCCTTAATGTCGAAAATCCCTACCTCTCTAGAGGAACCCCCCGAGTTGGAACTGAAAACCGTTACCTCCTCACCTCGAGTACGCCTTTTTAGGGATGATGGGAAGCTTCCAGTCATCATCAACGCCAATCTTACACCCGAGCAGAAGGTAGAATTGATTGAGGTCCTCAGGCGTCACGAGAGGGCAATAGCTTGGAAGATCACAGACATCCGGGGAATTGGGCCAAACTTTTGTTCACACAAGATACACCTGGAGGAGGGGGCCAAACCGGTTCGGCAACCGCAGAGGTGAGTGAATCCTAATCTGGAAGAAGTAGTGAAAGCATAAGTGATCAAGCTGCTAGATGCCGGGATTATCTGCCCTATCTCGGATAGCCAGTGGGTGAGCCCAACCCAGTTGGTCCCTAAGAAGGGAGGAATGACGGTGGTAGCAAATGAAAAGGAAGAGTTTATACCAACAAGAATGGTGACGGGGTGGAGGGTGTGTATTGACTATCGAAGATTGAACGAAGCCACTCGAAAGGACCACTTCCCTTTGCCTTTCATTGATCAAATCCTGGAGAGACTCACTGGGCATGGTTACTACTGCTTCTTG